TTTTGGAAAAAAGTAGTTTTTCTAATAAATTATGATGCTATTTACAAAAAAAATTTTTAAATTTTTAAATTTTTTTTGATAATATAGATTTTTAAATAAATTTTCTCCGAAAAAATGGACAGAAAACCTTTATTTTATCAAAAATATATTATTTTTTAGCTAAAAACGGCTTTTTTTTGTAAAAAACCAAGCATTTTACAAATTAAAATTAAATTTTAAAACCATTTTTACCATTTTCATATTTTAAAAATACAAAAAAATGTCAAAAAGCCCGAAAAAGCTACTCGCTCCCGGGTGGACTCGAACCACCAACCTTTCGGTTAACAGCCGAACGCGCTAACCGATTGCGCCACGGAAGCACGGCTTGAACTATTTGATATATGATTTTCGGAGCTAAAAACTGCTTTTTAGGGTAATAGTAGTACTTTTAAAAATAAAAAAAATATTTTTTTGCGTTTTTTTCACTTTTGTCTAATTTATTACTGTAACTTCTGAACTAGTGCGAAAATAGAAGCATTTTTGATCATTACCTACTTCTTTCTATTGCTTTCTTTATCGTTTTTATACTTTTTTTATTACTTTTTGATAAAAGTAGGTGTAAGAAAATGAAAAAATGTAGGGTTTTTTTCTGTAAAAAACAATTTTTTTTTAAATTTTTTAAAATTTTTTCAAAATTGGCAATAAAATTAAAAGGCATTGCTTTACCATGCCAAGATTACACCAGCCTTTCTATTTTCTAATTTCAAAATGAAAATCCGTAAAAAAAAACGAGATTTGGCCATCAAAGTTTTGTTTTTTGTTTTCGACGCACTTACAAAGTTATTATTCAAAAGGCTGTTTATTAGTTTTGAACAAGAACTTCTTCGTATAATATTTGTTAACCTTGTGATTTTATTGCCACTGATAATTTGTGTATCAGTGGCAATAAAAACTAGCTGTTTGATCATACTAATTTTAAGTAGGGCAATATAGTATAGTTAAGTATGAGTAAATTTTAAAAAATAAAAAATAAGTACCTACGTAGGAGAAGTAAAAAAAATTTCGAAATGGAAAAAAAATAATAAAAAAAATATCTGATAAGATTTAGAAAAGTAAAAAATTTTATAAGCCATGAGAAAAGCAGGGGGCGAGGAGGGGGGGGGGTGAAGAACCCCCCACCCCCCAGAAAAACAATTTTCAAAAAGTTGAACGTAGTCCCCTTGTGGATTTTTTGGAAACAAATTTTTACAATCTGCCGATTTTTTCGACCCCCGCCCGCAGACTAAAAGACTTCGACCGGCCCTGTCCATGAGGCTATAGAAACTAATTTTTACAGTTTTGATATTTTCTTAAATTTTGTTAATTTTTAGAAATTGTAGCGCCAATCTTATTATATTTTTACAACGGACAGGTGTTAATAGAAAAAACTACAAAGCTAACAAGTTATTATGTTTCATAAGCTTGCAGAAATTAGTTTTACAGTCTGTAAAACTATAATATTATGACAGAGAAAAATTTCCACATTTTTTCCAATTTTAGAGCAGTTGGACTTGACCATCAGGTCAGGCCTAGCCGATTTTTCAGTCCGGTTCGTTTCAATTTTTTTTGGCTTTTTCCTGATTGCCAGATTCAGGGGGGGTGGAGTGCCATAAATATGTTTGTTTGCATAAACTTTGATATTCTTGCGCACGTCGAGCGAGTATCAAGTGTAAATATGAAATTTTGTTGTCTTACGGTAAATGAAACACGATAATACACATCTGCGTATAGTAAGTACACAAACACTAAAATGTCTTATGTGAGCCGTTCTGGGAAAGAATTTTTACTTATATTATAGATATGTATATAAAAAGAAGTGTTGTGTTGGAAAAAAAGGTTTTATCTTGGCTGTGTTATGGGCTTAACAGCAGGATATTGTGGATAGGCTAAGGTATGGGCTAGAACTAGGGCTAGGGCTAGGGCTAGGGCTAGGGCTAGGGCTAGGGCTAGAGTTAGAGTTAGAGTTAGAGCTAGAGCTAGAGTTAGAGCTAGAGCTGGTGCTGGAGCTAGAGCTAGAGCTAGAGCTAGAGCTAGAGCTAGAGCTAGAGCTAGAGCTAGTGCTAGAGCTAGAGCTAGTGCTAGAGCTAGAGCTAGTGCTAGAGCTAGAGCCAGGGCTAGGTCTAAAGCTAGAGCTAGAGTTAGAACTAGTGCTAAGGCTAGGTCTGGGGTTAAGGGTAGGGCTCGGAATTCATTTTAGTTACATTAAAAACTTTACGATAACCATGTCATTTTCTCCCTTACCCCCTTCTCTGTTCCACTCTTTTGTTTCTCGCCTTTCTAAAAATAAAGCAAAAAGCGAAAAAAGTGGTCGTTGACTTGCTTATGATGACATTAATACTTATTAATAAACTTTTCTTTCCTAAAAAATTAATTTTTTCTATTTTGAGCCATAGCGTGACATTGTTATGAACTATTCCCTCAATTTACCTTGCCAATACGTGGAGCTTTACATTTGGCATTTATTTATTTTGGCTGGTATTTTAATTTTGAAGTCTGGGTTTTTAAAATTTTTTTTGGGTTTTTGAGTAGATGATAACTTATAGAGGTGCTAAATAGTACTAGCTTGTTTTGTATCAATCAGCACTATATTTTTGTTATAGATATTGTTAATGTTTATTGTACTAGATAGTACTGGTACTTATCGTGCTTGACAATAATAATGCTTTTTGTGCTGTATAGTACTAGTACTTTTCGTATTAGGTAGTACTACAATTTATTGTGCTAGATAGTACTAATACTTTTTGTACTAACTAGCACTATATGTTTGTACTATATAGCACTAATATCTATTGTCCCAGATAGTAATAGTGCATTTTGTACTAGATAGTATTACTATTTATCGTGCTAGATAGTACCAAAGCTTTTTGTACAATCTAGTACTATTACTTTTTCACAGGTATATCTTTTGAACTTTGAGTTGCCATTTTATAAAAAACTTTTTTTTACGCCCCCCCCCCTCTCCAACCTCCTCCACCTTTACATCGTCATCTCCATTCCCACAAACCGCATTTTCCAGAAACTAGCCAACAGACTGTGTAGCGTACTATTTGCGGCTCGAAACTCAGTTTTATAATTGATTTCTTTGGATAAACTTGAGCCGTTCGCCGTTAATTTGGTGTGAAATAAATAATCCCCGCCGGCGGAATGGAGGGGAGGGTTGTTTGTTACTAGTAAAACTCTGTTTTATCAACTTGTACGGGGAGTCGGGCTGTGTTGTGGGTATAGGTTGTAATATAAGGAGAGGGGGGGGTTGGGTTAGAAAAAAAGGGGAAGGGTTTGAAAAAAAGAAGGGAGATTGAGGTCAGGGTTTGAGTTAGAAAAAAAAATAAGCAGGGGGTGGTCAATTGTTTGTTTTGAGGCAGCACATCAAAGCTAGGGTCGAGAGAGAAGGTTTGATTGGAAGAGAGTGTACTTTTTAAAGTAGGGAGGGGGGACTAATCTTTAAAAATTTTTAAGGTAGAAAAGGGCAGAGCAAAATAAAAAACATTGATTTATGAACGCTTTCCCCAGCCTTTTGTTAATGAACTTGCAAGGAAGTTCAAAGGGCGTGGAACGCTTTTGAAATTTGTTCTTTGAGCGTTTTGCTCAAGGCAATTTTGAGTATTTAACAAAACGTTGACGTCTGCTTGTTTTGAACAGTTTTGCATCACTTTTTAGGCTTTGTGGGGGGGGTTTCAAATTAAAAAAAAATTTTTTTTTGAAATATGATTTCTTGTACAGCGAAACTCCTGTATAACAAATCGCTCGGAGACTTGAAATTTGTTCGTTAAAAAGAAGTTTCGGAGTTGCATTGTATATGTTTATGTTCTTCAAAATCCTTTTAATTCAAAAATTAGGTTTTAACTGTATGGTTATGAATTAATTACAAATTCCAAGTATCGAAAGGGCTTAGTACAATATTAAGTTAGTTTAATGCTATTAGAATGTAAAAAACACATGTTAGACATACTCGTTTTTGCTTTTCAATAATTCACGTAAAGTGGCGGTTACATAAAACAAAATTCTTTTAATTTTAAAATTAAAATGCCATTTTTAACGGATATTTCTTTTTGGCGCTTTTAATTTAAAAAAAAATTATAAAAAATACCGTTTTTGAATATTTTTGGACTTACAGTTTTGATCTTACCCCTTGTTGACAATATTATTTGTAAACAACCACTTGACAAACGTAGGTTTAGTGCAAGTATCTTACTCAGAAATGTATCCGATTAGTCAACGCACTTTGGTTTGGGGTACTTAAATTAACTTAAAGCGGAGACGATTTATTAAATTGTTTTTGGCTTAAGTATTCAGTTTGGGCATTCTTTCTTCCTGTTCCTTCTTAAGAGTTTTAAATACCCTGCCCTGACTGGCCTTGCTTTGCCTTGCCTTGCCTTGCCTTGCCTTGCCTTGCCTTGCCTGGCCTTGCTTATCTTATAATCTCATACCTAAATTCTGTTTTTCTACAAAATTATTGACCTTTTAAACTAATAATTAAGACAATATTGTACTTGCTGAAATGAAAAAGCAGAAAAACATCTTATGATATCTAATACTTATGCTCTTTTCAGCTTATCATTAACCTTTATATTGACGTTTGATAGTACTTATTACAGTTATTATACCTTCTTTTGCCAATTTTTATGTGTTTATATGGTTTTATCGCGGTTTTTTTCACATTTTATCACATTTTTTAATTTTTCGCGAGAATTGCAACAAATTTTAAAATTTATTTTTTGGTCGAAAAGTTTGTAGAACTGATTAATACAACTTTATTTTTTGAGATTTTTTTTCTTTTTTTACGATTTTCTAGCTCAAAAATGAATATTTTTTCGGTTTTTAGCTTTAAAAATGAAATTCAAATTCTACGTACTTTTTGACCGTTTTCTCAAAAAATCAGTTTCGATTTCATATTAAATCAGTTTTTCGTGAAATTTAAATTAAAATTTTTTTTAAAAAAAGATTTTAATTTACTGATTTCAGGGTTATTTTACCTGCAGACAATGGACATTACCAATTTCTCGACGGAACTCAATGTAACCGAAGAATGCGTCGAAGAATACGAAAATTACGAGGAATTCGAGAAATGGCTACTAGGTATGGGTTTGAAAATGTCATATGATAACAGAAGTTCATTGATTGATTTTGTTTAGTCAAATGATGGAAAATGTCCAAAATAGTTTTTAAAGAATTGGCATTGTGTTTAAAGCTTACCAATTGTCATTTTTTGACTTAAAGTCATTTTTCTTTGATATACTAGTAAAAAAACTTTAAATGAACGTACTTTTTCAAATCTGAAAGTGCAGCTTGTCTGGAAAGTCGAAAAAAGTGCTTGAAACACTATGCCAAATTTGTCAAATTGGCGGAAAAGTTAAACATTTAAAATATAAAACTCAAAAGTGAGTGCTAAATTTTTTATGGGTACTATTGGTAGTACAAAGAATTCAAAAAAATTTTTGAGCTGATTCTGAGCGGGGCAGGGTGGATACTTTCCATGTCAGTTTATTTAGACATTTGATTGATTCAATGCCATTTTTAATTAAACAAATAAAACCCCAAAAAATTAACATTTTTTTCAGGCGTAGTAGCCCTCCCATTCATAATGGTCGGCTTGGCGGCCAACTTTATGTCATTGTTGATATTTTCACACAAAAATATGCGGACGAACATGGTGAATTGGTACCTCATGATACTGGCGGCTTCGGACTCTGTGATATTGATATCGTCGTTTATTGTGCTGACATTACCACGCCTGGGAGAGATTTTACATTTCTGGAAGTTGACTTGGATCAGGTAGGGTTTTTGGAAAGATTTTATGGGCTTAGGGGGTGTTTTTTGATTTTTTTTATCTCAAAGGGTTTCATTCAAATTTTTTTCAAAATTTTTTGATGCTTATTGAATTACAGTACTCATATCGTACTTCACAGTAACCCAGATGTATATTTCCACATCCTTTTTTCAGCTACTATCTAGTACCGTACTGGTACGCCCCCATGGGATCGGCCCAGACGATATCCGTATGGATGACTGTGGCCATGTCGCTACATCGATTCATAGGCGTATGTCTACCATTCAAAGCCAGCATATTACTCAATAAAAAGCGGGCCAAAGTTGCAATAGGATCGGTTATCGTGTTCGCTATCATGTTCAATATGACACGGTTTTTTGAGGTAGGATTTTATTGTGGTAAATGTCATAACAGTTCATGCTCTTACCACACTAATAATACTTTGTTTTACTCTATCCTACCTTACCCTATCCTACCCTACCTTACCTACCCTATCTTACCCTACCATGCAATACCGTACCATACTTTACCCTATGCTACTTTACCTCCGCTTATCTCACTTCATCTTGCCTTAGCAAATGTGCCATGTTCGTTATATAAGTGAACCTTATGCTATGTACAGTATAAACCATGCCTAATATCCCCCTCTTTCAGGTAGAAATCGTGTCATTTTGTCGTCACATTCCAATAAACGCCGAACTACCCATCTTCCACCCAACCCCACTACGACTGTCCAGTTTATATCGCCAGCTTTACTACGAATATGCGTATACATTGGTCATGTTCCTCATACCATTCACCATACTGATCATGGTGAATTCGATGGTAATTCTGGCGATTCACAAGAGTCGTCAGATTCATGCCAAATTGAACGTATACGACGACGGAACGAGGAAACAGGAGATCGCCAAGGAAATCAGCACCTCCATCATGTTGGTGGCTATTGTCGTGGCATTCTTGCTTTGTAATACCTTGGTAAGTTGGGGTAGGGTAGAGTAAAAGAAAAGCAAAGGTAAGGCAAGGTATGGTCAGAGCAAGGTTAGAGTAGGGAATGGTAGGATAGGCTAGTGTAAAGTAGAGTAAAGTAAATTATGGTGGAGTAGGGTACAGTAGGGTACTGTAGGGTAGGGTAAAGTAGGGTACTGTACTATATCACCTTCTTACTCCTCCACTTTCAGACCTTCGTAGTGAATATCCTCGAGAACTGGGGCTACGCCAACTACCTCACAATGCTCGTGCCGTGGAGTAACTGGCTTGTCATGACCAACGCCTCCATCAATATTTGCATTTACTGTATGTTCAGCGACAAATACCGTCAGTTGTTCTGGTACTACCTTCGCCTACTGGGATGTTGTGGTTGTCGGAATGATTTCGAGGTCATTGTCAATCACACATGGTCGTGATTGGTTGTAAAATACGATCATGTTGATTGTATATGATTAGTATTTTTTAATTTTTGAAATTTTTAAGTATACTGTACTTTCATGCCATATACAGTCTTTTTCAAGATTTTTACGAATTTTCTTGTATTATAGTACCTACTGTACCAACATGTTATAGTCCTACTGTAACAATATATTATAGTACCTACTATAACATTATATTGTGGTACCTACTATAATATCCTGCTAGTACGTCATATGCATCAATATTGTCCTATATACTGTAAAACCATCTTGAAGTCTTAGTCCACATTTTACAGTACCAAAAGCACCAGCAAACAATTTTCAATGTACATACAATCAAGTTTTGATCATTTTCTCCCACTAATCTCGTATATCATGGCCAATCTTTGCCTTACTTGCATAAAAAACAACTCGAAAGGATCTTATCAAGCATTAACAACCTATACCCAAGTTGGATCAAGTAAATATGAACAGTCTTTTTCAGTTCAAAGTGTTTTAAATTGACTTTTTGAACTTTCAAATCGACATTTTTGAAATTTTCCCCTTCTTTAGTATTAATTTTCAATTTCTTTAGCCTTTTTAAACGGAGTTCCATAAACTTTTCGACCGGAAATTTTTTCAAAAGTTTTGACTACCATTCTACAGCCTTTTTGACCCAAACTCCACAAATTTTTTAACCGGAAAACCCCTTAAATCTATATTTACTTGACCCAACATTCTCATAATATCTCGCCATTTTGTTATCCTCTCCCATCTCAACCATTTTACATTGTTAATGGCTTTCAGTTATTTGTAAATACGGTTAATAATTATAGTTTTACTGCATTAATAAATTTTTATTTAACAACAACAGTACGGCAGTTTTTAGTGAACATAAAACCAATTACAGCTTAATAAATCAAAATATAGTAAATTACAGCATAGTACAGTTTTTACCAGATATGACCTATACCGTTCATAAAACGTCTTGTATACCAAATTTTTGGCCAAGACTGCATTTATGGGACAAAATCAACACAATTTATTAACAATAAAAGTAAATTTAACCTGTACATTGGAAAAAAAGTTTAAATTGAAAACTTAAGGCACAAGCAAGTGATATTGCAATAGATTATTAAATGCCATCAAATATATTTAAAAATTATTAGCAGTTTTAAAATTAATAGACCCGTCAGACCAACTCCCAGCCACTATTATTAGATCTTAGACAAAATTTAAGTAATAAATTGAAAATTCATACAAAAATGAAAGTAAAAAACAAAAAAAAGTTAGTTGAAAATCTGAAAAACATAAGAAATTTTAGATTGTTCAAATAATTCTGTACCCCCTAATCCCAAAAACTTTCTTTTAGAGATGCCACAGAATTATTTGAACCACCTATTAGTAATGGCTCATGTTTAGACCGTATTATTACACTTTTTGACCCACTTTACATAAAGCATATCAATTTCTGTTAGTGAAAGATAAAAAAGTTTAGTAATTTTACATTGTACTTATTCATTTTACATTACTTCACCATATATAACTTAGCACTTTGATCCAATTTAAATCACTTCATCCAGCTTTACATCGATTGACATAACTTCGGCTAGCTTTACATCGGTTGAACAAAGTTTGTAATCCGATCCATTGGGAACCTCAGTTCAATTTGTGACTCATCAGAGAAGACAATGTCATTCGCATCGAATCTGAAGGTTTGTTTCGTTTCTCGGCAGAACTTGATCAAACTCATCATGTCTTGAAGGGAAATGTTCTGCTTCGTCAGCTAAAATCAAACATTTTATAAGTTTTAAAAACCCTTAAAAATGAATAAAAACCCCTTCACGTCAAGAAAAAATAATAGAAAACCGCACGCATAGAGAAAAATCGTTGGCATTCTGCAACAAGTAGAGAAAAAACCTGTTCGACTTTGACAATTTTTTACTGATAGTTATTGGACAATTAACATATTAGGTTGTTAGGTAAGTCGTGGGCCCCCCTAACCGTGTATCAGAAAAAAATTTTTTGCGTTACAACAAGAACGAATTATTAATCAAAATAGTTATCATCAACATTAACACAATGTGTCCAACGTTTTTAAGCATTTTTATCCCAGTAGCATAGGATTCAGAATTTCTAGAGCCTAAGAAAATTTTGATGGATTCCATGAAATCGTCATCTTTAGTGGATTGTCGCTGACACATAAATGCTGTCGAAGATTTGAAAATATGGTAATATGTAGCTATCATGTCGAGTAAATACAAATGATGGTCAAAAACTTTGTATCCAAACCCGTTGTTTTTCTGCGGTCATCGTTGCCAAGTGGGGGCGGACACTGTCATGAACAATAATTGACCTTCTGTTTCTCAACTTTGAAGGTAGATAGTGGCGCATTTGGTCAATATTAATAGAATACGTACTAACAGTTATGGTTTGGCCAAGTTTCAAGGAATTATAGAGAACTACTCTACAGGACCTCCACTTTTCTTCAAGCGTCTCATCTCCAGAAGGAAGCTTTTGGAACCAAATTTTTGCTGTTGTGTAGCTCACAATACTTTGTCCATGTGTCTTATTTATGAATCCAACCGTAGTTTTAACGTTACGACTTGTTTTGTACTCTTTTACATCACTACCCAAAGTCGTCATTTGCCCTATAATGTTCTGGCCACTAAAACAACAAAACAAAAAATTAAAAGAGGTTTGAAACTTACATATTCTGAAAATATAGGTTTTAAACTATAAAAGGACATCAAAATTTTCAATTTGCGATATATATTAATTTTTTCCTGATTTTTCAAACATTTGTGTTGAAAGGGGGCCCACGACTTACCTAACAACCTAATAGAAACTTTTTATAAGGAACCTTATTTAACACCCAAAGTTTTATTTACAACAGCTATTATAGCCAATTTGACTTTATCCGTTGTTTATGATCGGTCTGAAAATATGGTTGTCTAAAACCGTAAAATCATGTATAACTTTACAACGAGCACGCAATAGGCTAGAGATCTCTTCATAGGTAGACATAGAATAAAATAACGATTAATTTGATACCAAAAACACCAAAATCTAAGGAGTAGTTTTTGAGTTATGAATAAAACACGATATCATATTATCCATGGTTAAATAATTTTGGCGCCAATTCCGTTCACGATGAAAAAAATTAATTACCAATCAGATTTTTGTTTGAATAAGCTTGATCTCGTCGTCTTTTTATTGTTATTACTGCTTTGTTTATGTCTGATCCATAAAATATTTTCTCTAAATATTATTTTTCTTCTTATTTCACAATGCCAAAATTCCGTTCAATACCCAGCGGAAGGTTAGCTTTTTCTTGACGTGCCCTTCAAAAGCCTGATTTTGTCCTCCCTGTCCCATAAAAATCCTCTTACCCCTCCTCCTTAACATAAAAACTCCACAAACTTTCACTAAACTTTACCTTTTTGTCTCCCATCGAGTCCGAATCATTAGTATTGTTGCTACAAGTTTCGCTAGCCAACACATTGTTATTATCACCATTGGCACTATAATCATGATAAGAGTTATTCATCCTCCTTCCATTGCTCATACTTGAGGTTGGAGTATTCGCGTTGACCGAGGTATTCGAATCATTCGAGTTTCTTCTACCCGAATTGGCAGCTGTGTTTAATCTGGTAAGGGCATCGTTCGACACAGATTGTCTTCGATTCTTTGAAGCCGAGGATGAAGTTGATGAGCTTGATTTACGTTTCGGCGCAGGCTTCTTGGTTTGAGGTGTTGAAGTCGGTTCAGTTGTACTGGTAGGAGCTACAGAAATGGCACGTTTGCTCCTGTTGGTAGGTCTGGGGCCTTGTTGGGCTTCAATTTCGTGGACCTTTGCCAATATTTCTCGCTTCATTGGGTTCTCGTCGTTCAGAGGAATCATTCCGAGCATTAGTTGATATGTCTGAAAAAATTAAAATTTAATACCTAAAAATCAAAAAAAATTAAAAAACTAAAAAACATATTAAAATTTTCAAAAACCATTCTAAACCCTAACTTACATAGTTCAGCGGCATTTTCTCGCGTTGCCGTTTCTTCGACCGAAGTTTGCAACGATTCACAGTTTCCTTAATGTTCTTGATTGTTAAATGAATTCCGTATTCCAAATCTAGCTCTTCCTGAATCGCTTCGTAAACCTGCGTGCCTCGGATTCTTGGCGACAGCTTCAGGTAAAACTCGCACACCAGGTATACCTTGTGGTTTATTGTGAACTAAAAATTGAATTTGCTTTTTCAAGCTTACAATAAGATAAGACAAGATCAAGCTTGTTATTTACCAAAAACACAGTATTTAATACTAAAAATAAATAAATTTATCTTAGTACCCAAAATTCAATAACCTACCCTAACATAGTCTTAAAAAACATAAACCCACCTTATCATCGTTACTCAAAGGATCATTTCGCAGCCCTTCAGTGGTATCTTCAAATCTCCAGACTGAAACAGAGCGTGCTCGAAGATCACGGCCTTCTGGAGCCATACTGATGCTTCTGGCTCGACAATTACGAATTCCAAGGTCATCTCGCGGCAAAGGTCGTTGTGGAGACTTCTTTAGACCTGAATTTGTGCCGTCTTTTGCTTCTGTTATGGTCCTGTAGATCTCTTGATCCATCTAAAAGTCATTTTTTATAAATAACAAATCGAAAAATATTTATAACCGTGTTTTACTTATCTCATTGTACCAATAATCCGTCTATGTTTTTTTTAAACTAAAACACCTAAAGCTATAACCCGTTCAGTCTTAAAACATTAAAAGCTAGACCAATTTCCAACCCAACATACCTCCGACAACTCCTCCAGTTTTCCTTGCTTCACCTTCAGCATAATACGACACTTGTGATAATTCCAAGCAAACAAGACACAATCTCTCAAACGTGGGTACGTCAGTTCAGGATGGGCGTCAGCAATCTCCTGCACGATCTTGTCCCACAATAACGATCGTTCTGTTTGACTAACCACTTCCATCTGGGCCATATAAGGCATCACAAAAGGACGAACAAACTTCTTGATTTCGTCCCTCGTCTCTTCGTACATTTTCTGAAATATTGAAGTAAAGGAAATCTTCGTATAAGGAATATCGACAAAGGTAAAAAAAAATTATAATAATCTTTACATTGCTATAAGTTGCCATTTTTTTAGGTTGATACCTAAAAAAGCGGTTTCCCTAGTTACAGCACATGAAAGTGGGAAATGAGAGATAGACCAACAATAAAATCTTTAACTTTTCATCCAAAAAGTACCTGTAGACACATTTTTTTATAAATTTCGATTTCTCAACCACTGATACCCGAAAAACTAAAAAGTGCCCTTTTATCCCAAAATGCAAAAAATCAAATTCAAAGAACTACGTGTCCTGGCTACAAAAATCTGTTTCCATTAATCTTTTTCTTTCCGCTTTTCCATAACAAAACAACTTTTAAGGAGAGCGAGTGCTTTTCTATTCAATCCTTAAATTAGCGCGCAAATTTCAGCGTCCTATGTAAAAAATACGGTTTTTGTTCTAATTATACCCAAAGAAAACATTTAAGATTCAAAAATAGAAACCTTAAGCTAAGACTAATAAACTAAGACCTCAGGTTCGCCATAAAACCAAAATAAAACAGAATATCAACCAAAAAAGGCCAGACATCACTCACATAAAGAAGCAAAGCCAATCATTCATCTGGTACCTAAAAATCAAATAAAAAATGAAATAAAACATACCTTTTTAGCTTTAGCAGACAAATTGCTATTTTGACTATCCTCCACGTCTGAATTGACAGTTGTATGCAAGACATCGCAGTTTTCTTGGTCTAAAATGATGTTTCGATATAAACAAGAATATTAATATCTAAAACATGCCTAAATTTAAATAAAATTTAATTTTTTCAAAGCTCTCTTAGTAGTAAAATAAATAATTTTACTGCAATATTAAAGTACACAAACGTTTCAATTACTTTATCTACCAATCATTTCCAAAAGTCTATATTAACATACCAACAAATTCCACTGCTTCGGAGTCCTCCACGGTGTCTCTCCAATCCGGGATGCTGTTATATAATGCTTGTGTCTCAATGGGCTCTGCTTTGATCCTGTATTCACTCCGTGAGCCGTCAGAATTGAGCACTTCTTCATGTTGAACGTTGTCCATGGCTAAAGCAAAAAAAGTAAAACTATTTTTTTAAATAATTTTACACATAGTTTCAAATATTAAAACAACGTAGCACAGATACAAAACATACTTTATATTTTTGAATATAAAAACACCTTTTTTAATATATATTACACTGAAAGCGTCAAAGAAGATAAATCTCACAAAAATAGATGTCTATACCAATTGAGACACGATTTATCACTTGAAAACTAAAAGATTAAACCAAAAACGATCAAAAGAAGGATTCGTGTAAGAGAAATACAAAAAACAGCAAGTAAGGTACCTTTTTTATTCAAAAAGCAATGAATAGCATAAAAAACCGCGAAAAACTTTATTTTGACATTTCGCTCATTAATTTATCGGGAAAATAATATTACGCATTTAAGTTTGTTGCCAAGTGCAATTGTAAAATAGCATTTTGCAAAAACAACTTCTTGTTAAAAGATTGTTTTTGTAAATAAAGTGATAACTGAACGTCTTATTGGTTTATCGTTGTTCAGCACGTCAACAAGACCAACTTGAACTCAGCATGGTGGATTTGGGGAGGACATTCATAACTTCAGTAGTTATAACTGTCTTCATTATGGCTTTTTATTATACTGGACATTGAAATTTATTGAAAATACTATGTACAAAAAGCTTTTATTAACGAAAACAATAATAAATAACAATAAAATTTAAAAAAACTAACCAAAACGTTTCTAACGCCATATACTCGTAATAAATTAAAAGAAACTGAGAATCATTCCTTGCAAATTGAAAAGTTGTACTAAAAACTGAGAATTACATAGTTCTTTAAGATTAAAAATCTGGTCGAAAGATTAAAACACAAAATAAAAAATTGAGAATCTTATCTAAAACAACACAAAAACAAACAACAATGCGCTAAAAATTGCTGAAAAACAACAAAAAACAATAAAAGTAAGTAACAACAACAAAACATAAGATTTAAATCAAAGACTGCAATTTTGAAGCTGGAAAACGAATGATCTTCTTCGTGACATCGTGGGTGAATACAACATCCTCACCTTCGTAGCGGAAGGATTGCTGGTGTTCGTTACAGAATTTTACAATCTTCAATAGGGTATCACAAGCATTAGCTTTGGTTCTCTGCTGAAATTTATGATTTTATCAGTGATTTTAAAACTGAAATTCAAATGATTATCAGTGACTTCAAAACTGAAATTCAATTCTACTTTCCTAACTTCTTCAACCCAATAACGCTTTTCCAAGTTTGTACAAGACCTGGCTTTTAAACTGAAATGTTTTTCAGGCGCAGCCAGTGTATCGCCCGGATGGGCACAAAGCTAAACAGAATTTTAATTGATCTCGACTGAAAAGATAAACCGAAAGCTTTTCAAAAGCTAAATCTATAATATTAGATTGTTCAAGTAATTCTGTGCCCCTTCTCAAAGCAAATTTTCGGTGTTAAGAGGGTACAGAATTATTTGAACAACTTAATAGATGACCCTTAATCTTAAATCACTAATAAGAGTGATTCTAGAGCTCCTTACCTTATCATCCGCTTTTTGTTCACAATTCATGTCCTTAGCTTTCACCACAGTTGAAGTCAAACCATAAACCGATGAAGTCGCTGGTCCCGGCTCTGAAATATCAACCACATCTGGATGCCTCACATAATCATTATCATCAATCACAACTTCATTTTCGTCATAAACCATATTTTCAACCATTTTTTGACGTTCAATATGATCATCAATATCAACCACATTTTGATGTTCAACATGTTCAATCACACCTTGATTTTCCACACGATCAACATTATCAACCACATATTCACGTTCGTCATCATCAACATTTATAATTTCTGTTGTAACATTAGACCGAGTTTTTCTCTTCAGTTTAAGTGGGTGTGGCTGAGAGTTGGGTGGTTCGCTGGAAGAACGTTGACGTTTGTAGTACGGTGTTCCTTTCAGCTTTCGGAGGATTTTCTCCTTCATTTCGTTTTTATCTCCAGGCAAAATCAAGCCAAGCAGCATTTTTTGGTATAGCTAAATGTTTTTGAAAATAAATTCTGTTAACAGTAGTCTTATTAGAGTTCTACTCTACTTAACTTTACATTTTCTTGCCTTGTCTTACCGTACACTACCCTACCTTACCTTCCGCTACAATACCCTAGTCTACACTGCCCTAACTCTAGGCTCTAATTAACCACATCCTACCCTTCAATCCATTCTTTACCCAGCCCGGTCCTTCCGATGCCACATTTATATATGAACTATGCCCTGTAAGCACCAATTTCTTTTAAAAAAACGAAAATCTACCTGTCTAACCGGTTTATGTTTGCTGAGGTTATCCTTGGCCAGCTTCAAACACTGGCGGTAGGTTTCCTCAATGTAAGAACCACAATTCGAAAAACCATACCGATTGCGCAGTGCGTCATTGACCAGACTCATAACTTTTTTCAATGGCCAAAACTTGTGAAGTGTTTTAAATTCTACGAACAATTCACAAACTATGTATTGTTTCTCCTGCAAAGTCCACTGAAACATAAGATCTTGAAATAAGAGTTTCAAAACAAATTAAAATTTTTTGAAAACTCATCTACAAACACTACTTAAAAACCGATCACTTACCTCAATGTCCAATAAAGGTGGCTTCTGGTTTTTGGTCTTTCTAGAGATTTCTAGGGTTTCTCCACTTCTCTTTTTAGGTACCTTAAGAACCTCATGTTCGTCAGAATTTTTATTAACACTGCCACGAGGTCTTCCTCTGCCTCGTTTTGTAGCTTCACGAATTGGTAATATTCTTCTTTTTGATTTTGCTTCCAGGCTAGATTTTTGTTTTCTTAAGGCTTTTGGAGGTGTTGTCTAAAACTTTGAAGTAAACTTCATATATAAAAAGCCATTATAATATGCATTATTTTCTGATTTACCCTTCCAAAGAGTCAATATTGTCTATTTTACTCTTCCAAAGAGTCAATATTTTCTATAAAAACATCAAACTAGTAAAAAACTTACCAGAGGCCCAGTAGATACAGAAGAACGGCTGTTTGCTCTTGCACAAAAATCGTTGCAAACGTTTGAATTTAAATTTTCAGTACTATCGTGAAGCGTTGGATCTATATCTTCCAAATCATTCCTAACGTGCCGTTCCTTCTTTGATTTTTCCAATCCGGCTGGAACACAAGATTGAGACCTAAGAAATCTTTTTCTAGGCAATATTCTCATCGGAGCGATAAACACTGCGTATATGCGCTTATCCGTCTAAAATTAAAACGCATTATTACACAAGGTAAACGACATATTATATTATAACTATATAATGATCAAGGCAATCACTAAAGCAAGTTAGATTAAAATCAAACAATTGGCAACACCCCAAGAATCCGGCCATTTCCAAAACACCTTAGCCAATATAAACATTAAGAACTTACCTCATTTAAAGGCTGACCATTCCTATAACGTTTATCAGCCACCTTCTTAACATTAGCCCAAATTCTTAATGCAATATCTTTGAGTTCGTAGAACTGATAGCTGGGATACACTTCTAACAAAGTTTTGACTACATTCTCCCATTTAATTCTAATCTTATTCGAATCAACATTCTTGAGAACAGCGTCAATAACTTTAGCTCTAAACTCCGGCGTTTTCAAGGGGTGATCACGGTACTGAAATTTTAAAATTTATTAATTTTAAAAAAGTTTTCTTACCCAAAGACCTAAAACAACATAAAAAATAAGTTGCAAGAACATACCATGTCAGTGCTGTCAAAAGAAAAACTGCTCAATTCAAGATCCGCCAAAGTTCCATTTATCATGCTCTTGCTTTCCTTTACGATTTTAGCATTCTGAAAAAGTAGATCCTTGGCAACCGTAGTAGTACCATCATGAAAAAGTTGATCATCTACAATTGTAGCCCTATCATCACAACAAATGTTATCCTTAGATACCGTGCCATGGCCATCTTGAAGCTGCTGAGAATCTTCTACTTGAATATAAAGGGCAGAGCTTTGTGAACTAATTGACTTTTTGATGTTCATCACGCATTTTGACTCGATTTCAATCGTTTCGGCAACTTCCATCGGCTCGGAAACAGAAAAATTAACTTAAAGAAGAATATTGTTTTAAACAACAAAAAACATCGGATATATTCAAGATAGCCCTCGTTTTGTAGGTAACAAAATCTTCTTGCAAATAAAAGCGCTATTGTTTAGCTGAAGCCTAAACTTTAAAAAAATAACAAAAAACTATCAAACACACCACAAGCAGTACGTTGAGAATAAAGATCCGCCCATGTTGGAGGATCATTGTAAACGTTTTCTGGCTCTTCTACCTTTAAACTTGCCATTTTAATCTGTCGATTTCACAATAAATCGTGTCACATATGGTTTTTTCTAATCTAAAATACAAAAAATAACATTTCAATTCATGATATTACCTAAAATACCAAAAAAGTTGGCGTTCTTGTATAATATTATACAAAGCAAAATAAATCGGCGCCATAAAAACAATTAACTAAACAGTTATTATGTAAAACAGAACGTAAGAATAGACATGAGAAACGGTCCGGGCCGGCCTTGAGCAAAATTCCGATCGGGCCGGGCCTGAAAAATGAGCCGGGCCCGGCCCGTTTCCACGTAAAAAAAATTTAGGCCCGGGCCGGGCCTACCATCGGGCAGGGCCGGGCCCGCCCTGAGCAAAATTTCGATCGGGCCGGGCCTAACATTCAGGCCCGGCCCGTTTCTCATGTCTACGTAAGAAGATAAGAAACATAATTTTTATATGTATTATTAACAAATACCTCAAAAAATCGAATTTTTATGCATAATATTACCTAAAACATCAAAAAAGAGCTAGTTATCAATAAAATAATACCTAAAACTTCAAAATTTTCAAAACCGAAAAAAACAAAAAGCACCATGAGGGCCGGGCCCAATTCTCAGATAAAAATTCTCAAGCCCAGTCCGGCCTGAATTTGGGTCAGGCGCGGCCCGGTCCTCATGTCTAACCAAAAGTATGGCAAGTACAACATATAAAATTATTTCAAAAATACTAAATTGACGTTATACAGCCATTAGATAACCATTATATTGTCGTTTCAAGATTAAACCATTAAAAAATCCTAGAATTCATTAAAAAATTATGATCGAAATTTATTTTTATCAAAATAAGTTTCCTCAATTTTTATGGCACTTCGTTGTGGCGAAGCGTCCACAAACAAAATTCCGTCGATTAGTCGTTCCTTTATTTTGCAGCATGGAGTTTTTTTTCTAATTGTATTCAAACATTTTAATAAGTCAATCTTGTTATAATCACTAAGGTAATTTAGTTTCAAAAATTTTATTCAAATTTAAAAAATAACCGGGAAAGGAAACAGTCGTTATATCTGCTACATCTCCCTCAAGATTCACGCCATTCATCGTTTTACAGTGTTTCTTTCAATTATGGTAATGGCATCTTTTACTTTTTTTTTTAGAATGTAATGTAAAGTTTAAGCTGGAAAATTACAAAAAGACTTTTTTCATAATTTCTCAAGGCGATACAAGGCGTAAAACGTATTATTTAAAAATGACATCGAGATTTCCGAACATACAAAAATTGAGCGAAATGATTAAAACAAGATTCATACTAAACCGATATTTTAGCAACAGTGAAGTTATTATTCTTAAGAACAAAATAGAATACATACTAAAAAATATTTTGATTACCCGTGAGACAATGAGTACAAAAGTAGTTGGCAATGAGTACAAAAGTAGTTGAGAATGAGTGAAATTAAAATTTAAAAATCATGTTTGTACCTAAAAATTTTAAAGCAGAAGAATCCCATTTTGGAGGCAAAAACTGATAAAAGTCAACATCTTAAGAACTTTGAAATTGGCTACGAAACTATTACCCTTATGAAGAAACATTCTTTCATGCTATTTAAAGACCTAATGCTTTATGAAAAATAGAAGTTTCAATACTTAAAAACCCTAACAATGCTAGCGACAAAATAAAAAAAGACTATACGTTAAAACAGCCAATACTTTAAAGACAAATAAAACATTCTAACTACATATACATACTAAGTTTTTCAAATAATTCTGTGCCCCATAACCCCGAACATTTTCTTTGAAGTGGAGCTAGAATTATATGAAAAACCTAATAATAAATCTAGAGATCAAAGTTGATTCTAGTGATCGGCCATCGGAGTTCCTTGTGAGTGATATCGTGAGTTAGGATGACATCATGGTTGTCGAACTTGTACGAGAAGTTCTTTTCATTACAAAAGACTGCCAACTTCATCAATGATGATAGCGGAATGGAGCTTCGCTAAAATCAAGGTTTACTTAAGTTTTGTTAATGTAATCGTGTTTTGTTAGTTACAATACATAGTTACAGCCAGGGTTGGGCAGAGAATTTTGGTCGGAAGGCGGGGGTCGAAAAATCCACAGGGGGACCAAGCCCCGCTCCCCTTCACCCAAGAATGCATTACCTGCTGATTATCCACAGGTGAAGTCACATTACTTGAAGTTGTAGCCATACCCACACTTTCTTGTCCATCTTCCACATCACCGCTATCCGAGCGGTATCTCAAATAGGCTGAGCCTCCCATTGGACTTGGGCGTTGTTCTGAAGTTCTCGAATCCACTCTTGGGGGCACAACTGACTGTAAAGCCATATCACTTCTCATCAAAGTTGGACACGGTAAAGATGGTCCTGGAGAAGCTCTTGATGAAGAAAAAGGTGAGTGCATATTAAAATCGTTGCTTCTCATTAAAGTAGGGCATGGAGATGAATTTCTTGATGTAACGATATACCTTGATGTATCACTGAGTTTTCTAGCTGGAGTTGAACATCTTGATGAAGCCCTGAAGTTTGAGCTCGCAAGATCTGCTGGTGATGGTACTTTTAGCTCGTATTTTCCCGAGAAAAAGTCGTAAATTGGCTGTCGTTTGTTCTCTGGAACCTTGCTTATAATACATTGCTTCATGAAGTTATCGCCACCGGGCAATATCTTCCCACATAGCAATTGCTGTTCAGGCTAAAAATTAAAATTATTATTAATTATAGGTTGTTCTGTGCCTTCTAATCTAAAATTTCGCTTTGAGAAGGGGCACAGAATTATTTAAGCAACTAAATAATTTTAAAAAACTTTAAAAAATCAAATTTTTAACCTCAAATACCTATAGTTAATGTAGGTATCAGAAAAACAAAAACACACCTCCACAACTTCGTGAGCCTTATTCTGTCGGTCCTTTGTCATCTTTTGCATAGTGTAGTAGAGTTGTCTGACAGTATAAAACGCGTACTTAACGCCATACAGTCGGTTTAGATGGGTAACTGTGATCTTCAATACAGCTGCTTGAGAAAGATCACAGTTCACATATCAGGTACTTTCGCTCGGCAAATGAGAACTGAAGTTGTTCATGATTAATATGGAAGCTATTAGTAAATCACCAAAAGCATTGAAAACTATTAAGCAATATCAGGAATACTAGATTGTTCAAATAATTCTGTGCACCCTTTCAAAACTAACTTTCAAGGTTTTGAGGCACAGAATTACTTGAACAACCTAACAATAAAATAAAGTCTCATAAACCCATCTACCAACTCATCAAATAGGTTGGTATAATCAAGTATAATTTGAATCTTCTAATTTTCAGTTAATTTACATAAAAGCACTATTCAATCTAATCAAAAACGCTTTCGTAGATCAAAAAAATTACTCTTGGTGCATCGAAATCTCCATACGGCTCTTCATCATTGTTATCAAATTCCACGCCTTCAAAAACTGAAGATGCTCTGGACAAAGGTGCAGTCATTGAAGATCCAGAAGAATTGCTGAGCAAAGCCATTTTAATCCGCTGTTCCATCTAAAAAACAATAAATAGGTATGAAATTTGAAAAGAAATAAAACAAAAACGAAGTTCATTCAGAATTGTTAAGAAATATATATAGGTAACCGATCTTCAAATTCTAAGATTGATTTTATACTTTAGAAAGGGAGAAACAGTTTTTGCCCCCCAGGACCGGAGTCCAACGTTTAAACCCGGCCCGTTTCAACAGTAAATCAAGGTCCGGCTAACACGGCCCATTTCTCACCCTTATTAAACAGTTTTAATGATGACATTTTAAATTTTTTAAAACTATATAAACAAAATGACATAAAAGAACAGTTTATAACACCAATACTCGACCAACCCGCTAAAATATGTTTTTGAAATATTTATTTTTAAAAACTGTTTTATTTATTCCTATTTTTCAATAATTCTCAACCAACCAAATTACAAATATTTCCCATTCCTGACAAACGTGAACTACCTTTCAGCAAAGCTGTGCAAAATTATATAGCAGTGAAACTCCTGTAAAAATAAATAGCTTGAGGGTTTTTAACTTCTCCTTATAAAGGAATTCCAGTATACAGGAATTTTGAAATACAATGGAACTCCTGTATAACAATTCGCTTGGGGATTTGAAATTTGTTCGTTATAAATGAGTTTCGTTATAGAGGAGTTTTAAAAGCAGTGTGTAGTGGTAGATGGGGATCAAAATTTGTTCGTTATATGGGATTTTCGTTATAAAGGAGTTCGTTATACAGGAGTTCCACTGAATTTATAAATTTCCCAAGCCCAAACAATGTCCAAATATTTTCAAAAACAAACTTTTTTTTCATTTTTCCAAGCAATTTTAACTCCAAAAATAAAAAAAATAACTCACTTCTGTCAGTGTATTAGACTCAGAGTGGGTGAAAGCATACCACACCTTGTTTTTTTGCCATGCCCATACTCTTTGGGTTAACTTCCGAATCTCTGGCGCATTAAATTGAGGATAATTTTTCAAAAGGTCATCGATAATACTGTCCCAGACAAACTGATTCGCTTGCTTACGCCCGGACCCTTTCACAAATTTGTGGTGATACTTCAAGGTTGTATTTACAACTGCTTCGATAAATTTCATGTTCTTCTCAGATCGTCGCTGAAATTTGATTGGAAGGTGAAACAATATTGTTTTAACTTAAATTTTAAGTGAAAAATTCGTTTGATACATAACTTGCAAATTTAGGCCTTAATTTTCAAAAAAAACCTACGTCACCACAAGAACTGAAATCGAAAAAGTCGGTAGACAACGATGAAGTAAGGTCTGACACCGGCGTTCTCCTGCTTCCTGCCGAGTACCTCCTCTTCTTGAGATCTTCATCATCATGATCATTATCTTCCTTATAAGAAACCACACTCCGTGATCGTTCCCTTCTTAGACGTATATTCAAACTTTGGTCAAACTCGTCAAGATACTGATACATTACTATGTGAAGAAGATTTTACTGAAGAGATGGATATTTTAAACGTTTTGGTCAAAGAAATCAATATTTTAGGTATTACCAGTGTTTTGCCAGACCGGGTCCGGTTCGATCCGGATTTTCAAAAAATGCAAGATTGAAAATAACTTTTAAGCTTATGGTTTGGTTTTAAAAACTAAATAAATTTTGTGAAGGTCCGTCTCATACAAGTTCCTCGCTAAACATTTGGACCGGCAGGACCGAATAGGTATTTCCGGTCCATTTCGGTAATGACTTGATAGCCAAAGACGGACTTTGACAAAAGTTATTTATTTTTTGAAACTTCAAACCATAAGCTTAAAAGTTATTTTCAATCTTGCAATTTTTGGAAATCCGGACCGGCCCGGCAAAACACTGGGTATTAAAATGAAACGTGTTTTAGAATTTAAAACGATTCTAACACTAAAATAAAAGGAGATTGCGTTAATATACATTAATATACATATCTTACGAAAACATCAATCTTATAAACCCTTTTCTGAATTAAAACGGCATAATCAGTCCGACTTTGCCTCTGCTGCCCGTTTTTTTCGTTTTAACAACTACTTTATATCAAAGATAATAAAAAATATATTTTCTAAAACTAGAACACGATAAAAATAACAATTCTTACATATTAATCGAGTTACTTACTATACTAAAAAGAAACAACTGTTAAAAACAACCATATATGTTTATATTCCGCTAAAAAAAATAAAAAGAAAAGTTTTCCGGAAATTTGTGGCGTTTTGTTAAAAAGAGAGGCGAAGTGTCATAAATCAAGTTGATTTCGGCCGGAACAAGAAAAGGAGTCGATTCCTATGTCAGGTTGAGAAACGGATTGTGTAGCCCAGGCCCGAAAATAGCCCGGCCCGTTGCACGTAAAAAAATTCCGGCCGGGCCAGCCTGCGTTAAAAATGAAAACAGGCCGCGCCTCCTTGGGCCCGGGAGTCCCGGCCGGGACTCAAAAGTGAGCCCGGCACCACTATTCGTAAGGGTTTTCCAAAGCTTGCTCAAAGATAAGTTACTTGTTTTTACACTGTAATTTCTAAATTAACGATTCAAAATCACGCTTACATTAAAATTAGGTACGGCTTAAAAGGGCCAGGGAAAGGTAAGAAAAGAAAGAAAACCACATTTTTTTAAAAATTATTTAATTTTATCTTATGTCGTAGCCCCTCATCTGTCCTTTCCACAAACGTCGCGCTACTATTGACCAGCAATGGATCAAAGAGTCTCCCTCCCCAAATGCCTTTGCAAACAGAGATAAATTATATTACATTAATCTTGGCATTATATTGTGATAGATTATACAATATCATATATATATCAATAGTTGAACTGAAAAAAAAGATGTTATTTTTTAAATTTATATTGTTTATTAACAGAATAAGGAAAATAAAAAGAAATAAATTAAAAACTGATTAAAAGTTGAGACGTTGAAAATTATCATTAGTTTATATTGTTAATATTACAATTATAGCAAATAAACCAAGAAAGTCGAAAGCAAGTTTTGACTTATCCTAAATCATTGAACAAGAAGGGCAGTTTTCAGTTTTTACAACCAATTTTGTTAAATTAATAAAATGATGACAAAATACAAATAAAAGTAAAGCTCATATCAAGTATTATATCATACTCTGAATTTTAGAAGCTGGAAAACGTATTTCCTTTTTGGTGAGATCGTGTATGAAGACGATTTCATCATTTTCATATCGGAAAGATTGTTGACTTTCATTGCAGAATTTGACGATCTTCATCATGTCTTCCAGCGATAGGTTTCTGGATGACTGAAATGAGATACAAAAATGAAGTTGTTCTTTAATATATTTTTGACGCTTTAAAGTTAAAATAAAACATTATTTAAAATTCTGAAGACTGAAACGGTTCCAGCAGAACAATTTTGGTCTAGGGTTAATAAAGATAAAAATTCTTTCAAATCATCTACTCCTTGATCAAAATAACCCGCCCGGTCTTTTGCTTAAAACATGTAATCCTTACCTCTTTATCAACCGACGGTTTGATCGAATTAAAGTTGCTGGTGGTACTGTCAACCATTGAGATAGATTGGGTATCACTATGATTATCAGTTGTATCCATAGCCTCAATCTGTTGTCTTTTAGCTGGTGATCCAATTGGTGCAGATGATTTAGCAGGTTCCATATCTAATTGATTAAGATAAGGTTGATATTTCGTTTTAGTAAGTCCTTTCAATTTGTTCATTATGTGGATCTTCATGGGATTTTGATCGCCAGGCTGAATAATTCCCGCCACCATTTTTTGGAAGTACTGAAAATATTGATTATAAACTGTGAAACGTCCTGTCGCTTTTAAACCTGTACCTCTTAACATATTAACGACAATACATTTTTTGGCAGTATAATACTAATAAATACCCACCTCCAGCGGTTCATTGTTCTGACGGCTTTCTCTAGTCAATTTGCAAGACCTAGAATAAGTTCCTCTAGCATATTCATCATGAACGTTCCAACCATAATCTCTGCGCAGTAATTTGGTTACAAGTTGAGAGACACGTCTCGAAGACCAAGTTGGATGAAGTTTCTTGTGCTCTTCCGTCAGCTCACATATAATGTATTGTTTCTCCATTGACGTAAACTAGAATTTTTTTACGTTATAAACAATATTGAACGTTTTTTCAGCATTATTTTAAAAAGTTACAGTAGTAAAATTCATTCTAAATCGTTTCGTTGTTTAAGCAACGAAACCTTAATATACCCTATTACTCCAAGCTTTAAAGATAACAATAATAACTAATTATAAACCTACATCATTCTCCGAACTACTTCTGCTTTTGGCACTTTGGTTAGACTTCAAACTCCGACTAGTGGTCGCTGGTTGTTCTCGAATATCCCTGTTATCATTGCTGAAAGCCTTAGCAAAGCTAGTCGGAGCACAAGCCCGTGGCGCTTCCTTTTCCCGAGGCGTAATCGGTTGCGCTGTAATATTCCTCAAACCAACGTACAAACGTTTAACAGGAGACCGACCATTGGCTTTTGGATGGTATTGCTTCTTGAACTTCTCTTTTATAGCTGGACTTATCGCGTTCAAGATTTCTCTTTCTATCTGTAAATTTAAAATGTATTAGTCAATATCTGTATCGTGTTAGAGGTTCAGAGGTCTTTCCAATTTCCTTCGCGACGCCCCTGACTTTTCAAATAAAAAAGAAAAATAAATCTTGTTTATTCTAATATAATTTTTGTTACTCTACTCTACTATAATATAATCTTCACGCTCGCGTAGAAACCCTTACCTCCGGTAACTCATCTTCTTTGCCTTCACAGTGAATTGACAAGACCTCGCTTTTCAATGCGTACCATAGTTTTTGAGCATTCAATCGACATGTCTTGCTCTTTAAATGAGGGTACATTGTAAACAAATCCGACTCAATTTTATCCCAAGTTAATTTTGAATTTAGACCTTGGCAACCATCCAAATCACCAACATACGGTAAAACGACCGATGGTAACACATGTTTTAACAACAATCCTCCTTTGGTTTTTGCCTAAACATTGAATTGAAGAAATAGAAAACTGATAACATACCTGAGGAGAACTATTAGTAACAACAGGTTTTTTAATGATTCTTTTTGGTCGACTCTCAGCAGCGGCAGTTTCGGTGTTTTCTAAACCTTAAAAATTTTTATAAAAAACAAAAATATATGTATTTTAAAATTTATGAACAGCTAATGTTAGAGTTATCAAGGTTATACTATTTATCTCTAAAAATCCACAAAATCTTTGAAACTAAAAAAATCAAGAATATTTTGTTTTATGCAAAATTAAAGCACCAAAAGATCGAATAAAAAATAAAATAACGTACTTTCGCTTTCGGTTTGAGATGCAGCCACAATATCATCAAACCAACTTGGTATAGAATCTGTAATTTCAATTTCGTCAATAACTTCTGTTTTCAAGTTGTTAGCACCAATACCATTCAATCCAGTAGACGCAATTGTAGAAGGCTCTTCTCCACTCATTTTTAAGCTTCAAAAATGTATTTTTCTAATGTTATTTTATATAAAAAATGTGGAAAAAGTGCCCGAAAAGCGAAAAAAATAAGAACTTGGAAAAAAGACTGTAAAACTGGAAAAAATAAGGAAAAACGATACGGAATTACAGAAAACATACTATAACACATTTAAACTTAAAATTTTATTCGATTTAGTAACTTTTTTGAGCGAAAGAAATAGAAAAAAGACGGTTTTCAATAACATTTTTCTCCAAAACCGGAGCGAAAACAAATTTCCAGCGAAAATAAAGCTTTTCTTTTGGATTTCTGCCAATTTATACGAAAAAAGCGTCTTTTAACATAACATTTTGTAGTGAAACGGACGTTAAATTACAAGGGGACGCAAAAAATATATTATTATATGAATAAACATAATTTTTTAATTTTCAAACATAAAAAGTCGAATTAAAATTTAGCTTCCATTTCAAAACGAACGAGAGATTTGGATTCCGTATAAGGTGAATAAGATCAACCCAATATCTTACGTGGCCTCTATTTGTCACAGCGCGTAAAAAAAGTTTTTTTCAACTACTTTTTGTGTGGCTTTCATTCTATTCTCCTAGATAACATAAAAAAAAGATGTGTAAACGTGACACAGTTGATAATCATATAGGGAATCTAACAAGTTGATAATCACACAGGGATGGATTTTTACCGGTAAATTGATTTTTTAGTAAAGAATTGGTAAATTTACATTCATCTTTATTCATAACAGCATATCATAATTTTTTATTTACTTCCATGGTATATTATATTTTTTTAATCTTTCGTTAGCTGTCAATTTCAAATATAGTATTCCTTACTTCAAATTTAAACCATTTATTTATATATAACATATAAATATATAACTTATATCAAGTCAAACATGTGTGAGTGCAAACGTTTTTTGAGATTTTCAAAATAAAACCAACATTTTGAATTGACAGTAACCCGGCCTAAAACTAGTTACATGGCAAGCCGAGTTACAGTACCACTGGTGAGATCACGAGCATAGTTAGAGTACCATTGAGACCATATATGTAGTTACAGGAGATACGGTACCATCAGAAGGGCCCAAAGGTGCAATAGCTTCAGAATCATAATGAATATCATCCGCATTAGTACTGTACTGTTAAAGAGATGATTTAAATGGTTACAGTACCATTAAGGAGATCTTAGTAGATGTAGATTTGTGACCAGTTAGAGATTCATGTAAAAGTAAGGAAACTGTAGTCGTTGTTGCATTCGCCTCATGTCTTCCATGTTGCGGAACGGTCGTAGAACGACGAAATTGGGTATCAAGTTAGGTTGTTGGAACTGAAATGACATTTTTAATAATCTGTGGTACTAGTTACCAGTAGGGGAGGGCAGATTAAAGTAAAGTAAATTAGAATAGAGTAACGCAGAGCCGGGCTAAAGAGGATAAGGTAAGAATGAGTATATTAGGCTGGATTATAAAAGCGTGAGGCGCATCAGGTTAAGACAGAAAATAATAAGACAGGGTATGACATGAAAAAACAGAGTAGATCAGAGTAAGGTAGGATGTGCGAAGGTAACTAATGTATAACAGTTTAAATCTTTTCAAGTCTAACATACCTCAGGTACTGGAGCTTCATAGACAGGCCTGCTATCCATATACTGCATGCTTCCTAATTGTGGTTGTTGTGATCGTTTTGCCATGAAAAACTGAAACAATTCGTTATAAAATGTTCAGAAAACTCAAATAGGTTTACTTGGCCATAAAAATATACTACCACGCAAAAGACCACGTGTCCCAAAACTTTTGCGTTGCAGTATTGGTATAAAACAAGATCAGAACTACAAGAATACTAAATGTAGTAAGATCTTTTTCATCAATTTATAGCCAAAAAAATAAAAACGCTTACATCTGCCATGTTATCTCCACCAGCAAATCGCCACGGTGGTAACCGTTTGTATTTGTTACTCTGAAAATGGTGATATCAACACTTATATAATTAATGAATGACAGCCTTTTTTATATTTCTAAATTTCATTTTCAAGTATGTCGACTCATATTTAAAAATGACAAAATTAAAAAATTTTATAGGTCAGCTAGTCTTTAAAATATTTTTAATAGAAAAAATTTAAATCATGTACCTGTGCTGTCGTTACTGTGGCTAAACTCAAAAATACCATCAACAAAATCCAAAAAACGAAAGAGACTGTTGTGCTTCGAACCGTCATTACTCTATTACTGGTTTGACTATACCCTGAAAATATTATTTTTAAAATTATGCTTTAGTATATAAATTTATAAAAAACCGACAAATAGTACAGTAATCACGCCATAAGCGACAAAAAAACTCCTTCTATCTATTTACCTTTTCTTCTAAGGCCTAAGCAACATCACTACCATACCCTATCGTTCCCATCCTAAACTTTTACCCCAGCGTTTTTTCCTTGCCTACAGTACCATAAAGCACATTTCGTACCAACTTTGCACCAAGAACATAAAAAGAACCTTTTCAACGTTTTACATGCAAAAATCTTCCCGAACGTCATGAATAATATTAAAATAATAATGCAAAAATTTGAAACATTAAAAACCTCGTTGTCATGTCATAACGTGTATGTTACAATTCTTGGCCCAAGACCAAAAAGAACGCAAATAGAAATTTATAATGCATGACAAATGCCATTACCATATCTTAATTTCCAATAATTTATTAAAAAAGTCCTTTTTATATGAAGGGATGACATAATTTATGGAAAAATAAGAGGTTGGAAAAAATCATAATATAATAATAAAATTTTAAAGCGAGGAGAAAAAAAAGGAAAGAAGGGGGAGGGGGGGAGGGAGGGAAAGGCAAAAACATGTTTTTTTGGTTTAACCTATCCTGCTCTTCACTATCATGCTTCATCCTACCCTACCTTACCTTACTCTACCCTACTCTAACCTACCTTATCATATATTATCCTATCATATCCTACCCTAATCTACACTACTCTTCACTACTATACCCTATTTCACCCACACCCTACTTATCATACCGTCCCTACTATATATTCCTGTTAGTATAACATTATAAATCTACAAAACTAAACTGTCATGTGCCCAACTGCATATAAATTTGTAAGACGTCCAAATCAAAGCCCGTTAGCAAATTTCATCAAAAATACAGCGTAAGGTTTCACGCTTAAATTACTGTCAGGTTTCCAAACAAGTTGAGATTAAGATTTGTGTGGGAGCTTGAACTTATGATGGATTATCTTTGAAAGATATAGATATCAGTAGAAGACATAGTTATCTTTAGAAGGTAGGGACTGTTCTGTGGTTTATAAAAATCACAAATTAAACAAGTGCAAAGCACTTAGATGCACTGCTTGAATTCTTATTTAAATTTGTCATATTTTTGGAAAATTATTGAAATTTGGTTTTAGGGTTAAATCATAGCATAATCATAATAGGACGATTAAGTATCAAAGTTTATTAAACTTATTACTTAGATACTGTTTTCAAGCCCTACTTTCCTCCAAAATAAAATCACTTTCCCAACACCAGGAGGGTGAGGGGCGTGGTGAATGGGGGTGGATCCACAAAAGTAGATACTTTTCAGTACAAAAAAGAAATTTTTGAAATGGATTTACAAAGAAATTCGTTGCCGTTTTCCTCAGAAAAAATCTGTGACGACGTCCCTGATCGGTAACCTCCCCTATTTTTAATGTAACCAACAAAGCCTACCGTCACATGGATTAAGAAGAAACAAAGGTACTGAAATGTTGTAGTAACCCATGAAAACAAAAACTTTGCACTAGCCTAGTTTACCACAATTTTGCAAGTTTCCCTCCACCAGAACGTCAACCGAACGCCGCTTATTTATAACCCACAATAACGTGTGTCATTTTGTAATAACTCATAAAGAATAAAAAAGCAAACCCATAAACTTAATGTATGCCATTTTAAACTTTTTTTCAGGAACTTGCATGTGTCTTAATTTGTCCGCAAATGACATTGCTCATGAAAATGAATAAAGTTAAGACTGTTCGGTCAAAGAACATTAAAGTTTCATTGAAACTTTGTATGTACGTGATTGCAGACATATCAAGGTTTATTATTATATATATAACATTGAACGTTTTTACAGTACATAGTAGAATGATAATGCCGTTTTTTGCAAGAAATTTAGAAAGTTCAAAGATTATTCTTTTTTACTTTTTTCCTGTCCTCCCTAGGGTAGGGTAGAAAAATGCATGATAAGTCAAGATACGGCAGGAAAAAGCAAGGAAGAAAGTATACGTTACAGTAAGGTAGAGTACCCCTCCTTTTCACAACAGTGTTTGACCGACCGTCACCTTTCGTCACGCTTTGAAACCGAACAGAGCATTGATAATTCTCCGTTCCCTTCCCTGTGTCCATTCCTACCTCCGTCCAGCCCTCGTTACAGTACCAACCCTGCCCAAACACTACATTACAGAAATAATCCAAGGTCCTTATGAAATGTTCAATTTACGTTTAATTTCAATTATAAAGACACTGTGACAATACGAACCCATATTAATGCTAATACGTTTTGTCTAGCTGATTACTTGACAGTTATAAGCAGAGTAAAATGGAATTCGACCTGAAGCCTAGCAGATAAGTGGCAATGGTTTTTAAACTCAAATTTAAACTTTTAACTATTCAAATTTGCTTCAACCAGACCGTTCCGAATTAGATTCAGCCCGGCCCCGGCCGGGCCTAGTGAACCCTGCCAATCAAGACTAGTAATCATAAGCTCTCCTAAAGCTTTACTTTTTAAACTTGAACCCAGAATAACCTAAAAATGTAAGTGTATCTGTTCAAAACAAATACCAATATATAAACTATTCGTACTGACCAAGTTTCGGTCTGATGTATGACATCTTATATTCATGTCCTGTTTGCCTAACCTTTGTTTGTCTTTTTAATAAACTTTCTCAGTAAAAGCGGAATGACATTGTTTGGGACCAATTCTTTGAAATTGAACAAGGATACAGTAAAACGAATATTGAACAAATATACAGTAATTAGAGCATTAAACAAAGGTACAGTAATATAAAGACTGTTATTATATTCCAAATAGTATGTACAACTCATAAGGTTTTTGTAACACTATCAATATAAAATTGACCATTAAGTCAAAGAAATACGTTCAGATAGACTAACATGTCACTTAAACTAAATAAGTACACAAAACCCAAAGTACATTCCTTTCGTAGTTCTTGTAACCTAAAATGTTTTTACATTTCCAAACCAAAAACGAAAAATCGTGTCTGTCAATTAAATTTGACACTAAAATTTGTCTGAGAAAAACTGTAAATAACAATAAAATAATAAAAAAGAGTAGTGCATGATGATAAAGTGAGTAGTACAAGACATTATTGACATGGTGTACTTGTATGATATTACGGTATGCATGTCTAAGTAAATATGAAAAATATATAATAGATTTAGTGTAGATTAATTGGGGTAAGGTAGATAAAGATAGGGTAAAGTAAAGTAAGGTAAGATGGGCTAGAGTAGAGTAGGATAGAAGAAGGTAGAGTAAGATAGAGTAGAGTAGAAAAGAGCAAGGAAAAGTAGGGTAAGGTAGTGTAGAGTAAGGTATGATAAGGCAGAGAGTAGGATAGAATAAGGTAGGGTAGAAAAGGATAAAGTAGGATATGGTAAGAGTGAAATAGGCTTAAGAAAGGTTGAAAATAATAAGCTAGGCTAAGTTAAGGTAAAATGGTTCAGGATAGAGAAGAATAAGATGAAAAAAAGTGAGACAAAAAAAAGATTATATTGCCTATAAAGAAGAAATAATATTCAAAAATAGTAAAAAATAAAAAATTTTGAAGAAGTGATGTTTTGAGTACTAGCATAACAATCTCCCCAGCCCCTGTTACAAGATGCTGCCAAGTAATAATAAATTATTTACATTGTAGAGAATGATAGATACGTTTACATTTTTTATTTTTACCCATAGTGGCATTGTTATTTCATAAAAAACAGTAGACGTTCAGACAGGCAGCGCAAAAGGAGTAGTCAAAAGATAACACCAGCCTAGCTGAGGAAAGATAAGAATAAAGGTAAGATATGCCTTCCTCTGCCTCTTATAAATTAGAGGTAGGGTAAGGTATAATAGGATAAGTTAGAAGCAGGGAAAGGTGAGACAGGGTAGAGGCAAAGTAAAGTAAGATAAGTTACAGCCAGGGTAAGGTAAGACTATTATAGACCTAATGTACAGTAAAAATTTAAAAAAATAAAAAAATTGAGAAAGACCCTCCCCCGTCCTATAATACAGAGTCCGATTGGTCAAACACAGAAAACATTTTACATTAGTCCGTTTAGCATGGTCAGTTGCCAAAACCCTACGTTTTTTAGTATAAAGTTAGTTATCGGCGTAAGAAAAACAACTTAGGGCTCTGATATCGGTACGAGTTTAATTGACCATAAAGGCTGATGTAAGAAAGTGTAAGTTTGAAATTCAAAATATAATTTTTAAAATGTTTCAAAACACAAAATTAAAAATTTTCAAAAAAACAATGGTCAAAAAGTATGTAGAAAAACACAGTCAATAAGTACGTAGAAAAACTTAGTCAAAAGGTATGTAGATTTTTTAAGGCTGGAGTAGTGCAATAGTAAAGTACTTTAGCTACATTTTCAAAAAAAAAACGAAAAATTAATTTAGAATTTAGCTAAAATGACGTTTTTCCGACTCTCAAACTCTTCAAACTTCCGCATGCTTTTTGGAAAAAAATCTTGCATTGACACTTCGTTCAAAAAACAATGTCATCTTTCACGCAACTCAACTCAAAAAACATACTGTTTTCCTCAAAAGTACTATAAAAATGCCATTTGTAACAAACACCACTAAATATAAATTTCTTTTTAACAAATCTACCCTATAAATATATTTTTATCTAAAAAAATCTACGATCTAACCGTTTACTATCTTAAAAGCAATCTCAAACAGCTATAAATAAGTTATTTGGGCTTTTATACTGTCGTGATTACGTCGTACGTGCAGTGCACGCGTACTGAATATAGTCAACATGTCATTGTCTGGGGTAAAATCTATCAAAAAATTTATAATTCGAGTAAGCAAAACAAACTTTGCTCGGCTTTGTTTACACGTTTTGACACAAGCAATGTAAAGTTAATTTATGGTGGATTGACAGAGGGTAGAGATGAG